ACACTCCCGCCTCGCCCCTCCCCATTTTATTGTTCTAACTTCACTGAACAAACACATGGAAGCGAGGAAAGAGGCAGCGTCTATTTATTTGTTAAAATACGAGAAATTGGGCCATTTCTGGGAGGGGGGGGGACTTTTGCAAAGGCACCCAAACGGTCCCTGTTTTGAGCCTTCCTCTTCGCCACCCCCACCTCCTAATAAAAGGGGCTTCTCTCAGTATACTGTGCATTTCAGCTAACTTCACTGAACAAACACATGGAAGCGAGGAAAGAGGCAGCGTCTATTTATTTGTTAAAATACGAGAAATTGGGCCATTTCTGGGAGGGGGGGGGACTTTTGCAAAGGCACCCAAACGGTCCCTGTTTTGAGCCTTCCTCTTCGCCACCCCCACCTCCTAATAAAAGGGGCTTCTCTCAGTATACTGTGCATTTCAGCCAACTTAGTTAAAAGAGTGTTTGTGGCCTGATCCCATCCGAGACGGCTTTGCAAAGTACCTGTGGTATAAACCTAAACTCTTTTTCTGGAGAGTAAACCCCATCGAATGTTGTGGGAGTTTCTTCTGAGTAAACAAGTTTGGTTTCCACCCATAAATTTCGTATAGTGTGGCCACCTGACTACCCTCATTATGTGTGTGCTTTTACTCAGAGGTAGGTCCCAACCCCTTCCATCAGGGCTGGATGCCAAGTACATGTGCTCAGAAATGCAGTCATAATCCCACAGTGGATATAGCTATACTTTTTATAGATGAACTAAAATTCTCAAAGGCATCCCCCCTGGCATTTGGTGTGCATTCACATCCCTCCAGATGTTTACTGTACTGCTGCTCCCTTCAGTCCCAGCCAACTAGCAGAGCCAATGGAGAAGGATGATGAGAGCTGCAGATCAACAACCAGAGGGTGTAACTCCTGATTGAATACTTACATTTGGTCACATTCACATCTCCCCCCCCCCCAAAGGGCACAAAGTAGATCCTGTGCTCCTTTTCCCTATTTTTAATCCTCAGAACCCTGTGAAATAACTTTTAAGCTGAAAAACCTAACTAGATACTGTATGTAGGAGAACGGGTGAATCTGGGTTTGTCACATCTACCTGTTACAACTCAGATTTAACTTATACAGATCTGTGGGAGTGAATGAAACTAGCTACAAGATTTCTGCTGCTGGATGTGTCTCTGCTACCCAGATCTTTCAGAGACTTCCCAAAGGCCAAATGCAGGTACTGATGCAAGAAGAATGAGGGTGTAATCACAAGGCTTGCATTTTGACTGCTTGTGATATGGTCTGGAGCATGCTGTCTCCCAGCAATCACACAACATAGGGAGAACAGTGTTCCAGCCTGACCCTGAATTGTGAGCACGCTGGATCTTTTTGATCCAGCAATATAACAACTACTTTTGGGGGCCAGGCTGGAACAATTGCCCAACAGATAAAAGTGTCACTTTAAAGGAGATTGCCTTGGCAAAACAACCCCTTTGGGAGCAATCAGAAGCACAATCAGTCAGGCACCTTTCTTGACATCTGATCTCACCCAGAGACTATCCCTAGTAAGTAGGAATTGGTGAGCACTCTGACACTGGAGGCATTCAAGAGAAAATTGGACAGCCATCTGTCAGATCTGCTTTGATATGGATTCCTGCCTTGAGCAGGAGGTTGGACTCAAGATCTGATAGGCCCCTTCCAACTCAATTATTTCATGAATAATTTTAACTCCCCATATCTCAAGCTCTATTTTTGAGTTCTTTCCCCTCATCCTTCTTCAATAGTCTAGTTTTAAAGCCACAAGGAGTTCTTGATGGGGTAGGGTGTGCCTCCTGAAATTACAGGGTGAAGCTCCGCATTGGTCCCACGAGCCACCTCTAGATACAGTCAATATAAATTTATCACACAGATCTTGTGTAGGTGTGATATAGCCTAAGATATAGGTGTGATATCAAGATAACTATATATAAACTATCTTCCTGATATCACACCTGTATTTTAGGCTGTCCTCCTAAATTTAACCTTCCAACACTCACATTATGCTACAATTGTTGGAACCTCAGGAAGATTCACAAGTTACAATTGCTCCACTTTCTGCTTGTTTTGAATGGCATGATGGGCCCAAGTTACCCCCCCCCCCCGGTTCTCTCCAAAGTCCCTTCCTTTGCTCTTGGTTTTTTAAATATGGTGGTCTTGCAGTGTTGCACAAGAACAATACGTACAAAAATGCCTTCATATGTTGACCTTAAGCACTAGTAACAGCTGTGAATGGGTGGAGGTGGGTGCACAAGCATTTAAATTGCCTTCTTCCCAGTGTTGCTTCCTTGTGATTTGATTTCCTGCTTGAGGAAGTGGAGAAGCACAGCAGTTCATTGAGACTCTAGCAGGTGTCCAGAGACTTGGCAGCTGGTATTCAGACTGATATTTCCTGTGTTCATCTTCTCTTTGGCTATGGAGCTTTGGAGTAGAGATGGGCAACTTGTGATCCTCCTTTTGAAGTGCCACTCCTAGTATCCTTCACTATAAGGCTGTGCTGGCAAGGGCTGCTGGGGGGAGCAGTCCAGCAATATCTGGAAGGCTCCAATTGGCCTCCTATCCTAGTGCTTTGTGTCTTGCTAACATCTGGAAGTATCACTGAAATGAGTATCCTTACTACCTTTTCAAGGTTCATGGTAGAAATACAGTGGACCCTCTACTTACGGAATTAATCCGTATTGGAACGGTGGGTGCAGGTCGAAAAGTCTGTAGGTCGAGTCTCCATTGGCCTACAATGCATTGAAAACTGATTAATCTGTAACCGGCCGTTTTTGTTCCGTTTTTGTTCCATTTTGTTTTTTTTCTGGTCTGTAGGTCGATTCTCAGGCTGCAAGTCGAACCTACGCTGGGTATCTTTAAAAGCCAAGTAAAAACATGGATGTTTATTCAGGCCTTCCCTCCAGTCAATACTTGATTTTCTCTTCTCATTTCTCCTTTATTTATTTTTACTCTATTTTCTTGGCAGATGGTTTTTCATTTGTAGATTTATGTAAAAGGTAAAGGTAAAGGTTCCCCCTATGTGTTTTTATTAATTGTTTGTCTTATACTGGAAGCCGCTCATAGTGGTCACATAGACCAGATGGGCAGGATTCAAATCAAATCAAATAAATAAATAAATTTTGTGGCCAGAGAAGTCTGTAAGTCGAGCCGTCTGTAAGTCGAAGGTCCACTGTACTGCTTTAGCATTGTGTTGAACAGAGAAGTAGATATTTTTAAAATTAATCTTCTAAAATAAAACACTATTTCATTTCCTTTATTTCATGTCATTCTGTTTAATTCTAAAGCAACTATTCTATGGCTACCATGTTAATTGCTTCCCCATTATTTCCAAGTTCCAGCTGTAATTTGGATTGGGCTAGATTCATTTATTTTCCCAATGGAATAATCAGTAAAAGATACATACTGTATTTTTTGCTCCATTAGACACACATCCCCCCAAAAAAAGTGGGGGGGGGAAATCTGTGTGTCTTATGGAGTGAAGCTGTTGATTTCACCCCCACTGGCCCTGTGGGGGGAGCCTCGCAA